ACTGAATCGGTCCGTGCTGAGTTTGCAACTCTATTCCAGGTAAGGTCTTGGTTTAAAGCTTTCTCATTATGATAATAGATCAACACTTATCTGTTCTTTATTTGCATGATAACATAGGTTTGAATATTACTTTGCATGCTCTTGTATTTTTCTTTTGTGCTGCAGTATTCTGGAATGATGCTACTTGAAGAGATGGCCTCAATTTTCCTCACACCATACTTGCTTCTGTTTATTGTCCCAAAGGTAATTTTTTCTTGGAGGTAACCTTCTTTATATGATAGTATAATGAATATTTGCTGTTTTCTTTTTGCAGCGGGTTGATGATATCTTGCAATTCATTGCTGATTTCACTGTAAATGTTGAAGGTGTTGGCCACGTTTGCAGGTTAGCATGTTTTCATATTTATATTTTAAGTGTATGTCCCATATATCTGGCCATTCTTTTGGACTTGTATGATTTTATTTATTTATTCATTCATTAGTGTTGTGGTGTCCATGTGACTGTCAGAGCATATTAATTATATTATGTCCCTGCTGTTTTCAGTTTTAGCACCTTTGATTTTCAAGAACATGGAAACAGTCATTATGGTTCCCCTTGCAATGCACCTCGTAGCCGGAGGAGTTCTCAAGGGAAGATGGAGAAATCATTGCTGAGGTATGTTCTTCTGGCTGAGCTGTCATAATCACAGGACACTGGTCTAATAGAGTTCGGTTACGTTGTCTATTTATTGATTTTGTTTCAAAAAATCACCCGGGTTCTACTACTCTTTTAATTGTTGTCTTTTATCCTGCTTTCAAGCTTTGGTGGAAGTTTGAAGGAGTAATGTTGAATGTTTTTTCTTGCTCGGGGTGGGGGAGGGGGAGGGGGAAAGGAATGAATTCATTGGAAAACAGTTAAGTACTATCCAAGTTCCTTAGCTACAGGAAGACAATTTCTATCCATCTATCTAATTTTTCCTTTAAAAGTTGTTTCCATGTAACGACAGGAACCCTGTGTTTTTCCTTTTTCCCGTAAAAGTGATGCATGGAGTGTCTTAATCCTGCTTTAAAAAATCAGAGATTGTCCTACTAGTCAACACCTAACTTCCTCAGCGTTCCAATCTTAATTTATATTGTTTGAAGCTTTTCATCGACATAACCTTGAAATTACGAGCTTCATTATTTTTAATCCTTAATTCTCCATGTTGTAATTCGCCTTCTTATGTTGTCAATGATTCGTCCAAGTCGTGAAATATATAAAAAGATGATAATTATAACAAACAGAAAGAGGAGAAAGAAAGGAAAATTTGTGCTCTTTTTGGAACAGGGCTAAGATTATGTTTCTAGTTTGATTTCAGTCCATAGTAAACAATGCCCCTCAGACAACTTAGCTTAGAAAACCTTTACTACTTTCGAAATCCTCTACTTTCGAAATCGTTTACCTTAGGGCAAACAATTTTATTGTTTTGGATTACTGATGTGAACTGTGGCAGTATTATTATTTTTGTTGTGTTGAACTTCTCTTGCTATTACAGCTTTCAGAGTAGTTATCCATCATGGGAACCAAGCGCACAGGGTAAACAGTTTTTGATAAATCTTAGAAAATTCAGAGAGGAAAAGTTACCAGTACAACGAAACATACATGCAGCTTCCCCTCCTAGAATGTGGAGGGGTATTTCCAACACGGGAAGCAATATTGGAGACAGAAACAGGTTTATGTCCAGGGAAATGCCATACAGTACTTTTTTAACTGGCAATCACTTGGGTTCTCTGTGGTTGATTGAAGCCAATCAACACAATCATCCCTATCTCCTTGATTGGTACTATACATCTCGATCTTCTGACGTAAATCAAGGAGACGATCCTTCAGAAGCGTTTGGAGTAATAGAACATCATTCTAGAGAGCATTGGATTCCCTCCGATATGACACACAATGAAAGTGGATATGAGGAATACTCAAATGAGAATCGTCGAGGTTGGGCTCAATCTCATCTTGTGACTTCCACATCGGTACCCATTTTCAGGGAAAGCTTTATTCAGGATCAAAGTTATAATGGACTGACCCATACTACCAGGAGTCATTGGTGGGCTAGACACGCGCAGCAGGGTGGACAGAATCAGACAAGCTTTTTTGAGCCTCCAGATTTCAATCAGGAAAGATATAATTATTATGATAAGTTTTCTGATAGAGGGTCAGAGGAAGAAGATCGTGAACAACGCTTGTACTCTAGAGATAGTCACAGATTATCTAGAACATACACAGATGACTTGGGGGCTGGGGAATTAAATCTTCATTTTGATGATATTTATAGCAGACCTCCAGAAACCCCACCTGCAAGCTTTTGAGTGACAGCTCTGTTCCTCGTTATTTGTTTAGGAGGTTCTTGCCGTTGTCGAGCATTTGCATGCATATATTTCCAAGTCTATTCTTTGCTGTAAATAGATTCATTGGAATGAGGTTGGACTGTTAAAAGAGCCTCAGTTGATGTTTTGGAAGGTCTCTAGATTACCTAAAAGGGTTCTGGGATCCTTCCTTCCTAGGTGTAGGGTTCAAAAAGTAAAAACAATCATTAATTATGTCCAGTGTCCTAATAATTCTTTGACCCAATTCTCCTTTTTCAAAAATACTTTGGTTTTCTTTTACTTATTGTTTGGTTAGATTGACACGGATTGGAGGGAGGGAAATTTTCTCAACCTCCATTGTTGAACTTCAAACTTTAGCTTCCCTCTCTCGAAATGTGAGGGACTTGAATGGGAAGAGAATTTTTACATTAATTGACTTTAGTTGAATAACTAGACCCTCCTGCGGCAAAAAAACACTAAAGGTGATTTTACTGTAAAAAAGTTATATCAAATTTACACATTTAAAGTATTTTTTATAGAAGTTGTGTTAAGCTGACAAAGTTTTAGTTCGAAATATTTTAAACTGAAATCATATCAAATTAAAAATGTGTTATCTTTTCACAATTTTGATTAAAATGCATGATTTTGATTAAAATATTTTAACTTTTAAAAATATGTTTTCCAATTTATCCATATCTGCAATTTTTTTTTTTCAAATTTATCACTTTCGTAATTTTTAAAAAAATATTAAACATTGCACTTTATCCATATTTGTAATTATTTTTAAATCTGCGGATAATTTTTTAAAATATTGCTTATAAATGTGCCTTTTCCCTAATTTTTTTAATATATATAAGGTTCCTTTAATTGAATTAAATGTGTTGTAGGAGGAGAATTTAGAAAATAAAATATTAGAATTGACGAGTGTTTTAAAATAATGAGATTGAATGTTATATGAAGATAAATGATAACCAAAACTGCATAAAGTTTACCTCAACTTGGTTCCAAGTTTATGGAAGATTAGGTTTCGGCCGAGAGAAGGTATATTTCTTATTAAAACATACTCAGCATACAAAATAGTGTACATGGCTTTTACTTAAACGTGTATATTTTAAGCATACGGTCCTTTCCACGTTTAAATTCAATTTACTGCATTTGTTATAAATTTCAGTCTTATCCTATTGAACTACGAAGCCTTTAGATTTTTTTTTTTTGTTTGCACGTATTTTTAAAACATGTTACAAAAAATTTGCTAATATATCAAACATATAGTTGCCATCATTGATTGTCTATGTGTTTTATGGTTAACCATTTACAAATATTTTCGCCATGCCAGCGGATGCGAATGATATTTGTAACATTGTAGATTGATCTTAATTTAAGTGGTCCACAGAGCCAGGAAGGTGGAGTTAGTAATTTCATGGGCCCAAATCAAAAAGCTTTTAAATGAGTCATCACAATATAAAACTAAAAAATTATAAAGAAAATAGTGTAAATGAAATCAATATTACATTAAAGATTAATGTTAAAAATTTTATATATTATATATACTAAAATATTTATTTTCGAAGAGACCACATTGGCCATAAGTGTGAAAACTTTTGGTCCACGTCTCACTCAATTTAAATTTTAGTGTTTGCAATTTTTTATCCACATTCCTGACACACAAATGGGGAGTACCCCAAACACGTAACAAAACCTATCAAGCCATTATAAACTTTTATTTTTGTAACAACCTTTTTTTTATGAGAGTAATCAAGAGAATTAAAAAAGAAAATTAAATTAGCTTCGTTAGATATTAGTTTCGCATTATTTTACAAAATTCAATTATTTATTAAATATCTTCCGATTATAAACCAAATCAATAGTAATTATTTGGTCATTAAAATAAAAAACAAGCGTCGAAATTAAATTGGGATGCCTAAAAAGCACAATAACGAAGATAGTTATACATTAAATACGTATGGATTTTAGTTACGAGCATTTATTCGAAAACAATAAACCCAAAAGAATGAGTATGTTTATTCGTACCCATTGAGGATATTTAATATAGTAAGTTGAAATAAAAATTATATTTATTCACTAATACGAAAGTGTTGATGTAAGACTTTGGCGGGAATACAATCATAGGACTTGTGGGTTGTTCAAAATTTATTTCTCATTAATTCAATGCCAAATATTACATTTTAGTTATTTTCTTATATTGGATTAGTATTTTGTTAAATTAGTCCATTTTATAATTAGGATATTGAGATTCATAAATATCTGTAATCAAGTTAAATATTGTACTTTAATTGTGTTGCTTTGTTGTAGTTTTTGTCTTGTTTACAGTTGAAGAGACTGTAACTATGTCATCTCTGTCCATACTTTTGAAGAATGTTGCACATAAGAGTCCAGACACAGAAAAACAAGAAAAACACTTGTTCTATCCTTTCTGATATATTTTCAGATATCATAATACTAAGTTGAGGACCAAAGCAAAGAATGCTTATTCCTTTCATTTCTGATTTAAGCAATGGCATTGGCATTGGCATGCCTCTTTCTTTCTACATCATTCCTAATGTCAGAAGTTCCAAACTCACTCTATATCATTGCAAAAATCACTACACGGTTTTTTCTATTGTCTCTGTCACTGCTAAATAAACCTACCCTCTAAGTTACATTAACGAATCACTGGCACTAGCCTGATTTTAGATGCCTATTATTCTGTTGCATGATGGTTTGAAAATCCAAGTAAACTTGCCTATCGTTTGCTGAATCCATTGAGAAAGATCTTCGAATAGGCTGAATAGAAAACTGCTCGTCTTTCTTCCTAACATCAATGCACTCATCTCCCATGATGGAAACATGGTGACACTTCCTTGTAATAGAGTGACTTCTACTCTCTACAACTCTTTCCCTTGAGTCACTTCTTTCTTGTTGCATCATCTGTGGCAGTGCTTCCTCATGTTCTCCCTCAAGTTCAATGACAACAAAATCCTCATCACTGTCCACGTAAGAGAGCAATTGAGAATCCTGAGGAGAAGAGCTTGGAGCTATGATATGATCCGTTGGACAGTGTGTGTTGCCTGATACAATGCTTGATCTACAAAGAGGGCAATTGGAATTGGTTTGAAGCCAAACGTCAATGCAGTGAAAGTGAAAGGCATGTTTGCAAATGGGAAGAACTTTCAGCATATCATGATCTTGAAACTCAGTCAAACAAATCACGCAGCCATACAACACACTTTGATGATTCTTTTCAACATCTCCTTTTGTGAATTGAAGTGTTGGGATTTCTTTGATTGCAGATTCATCAAGTCCTTGGCTCCACATCCTGGGAGAGAGTGCTATGAAGGGGTCTTGATCTTCATGTCGAGGGGTAAGGAGGGAGAAAAACCATCTCAAGGGGTGAAATAGGTACAAGTTTGAGAAGCATTTGGTGACAAGAGTTAAGTAGGTGATGAGTATAAAAACAGTGACAAAGATGGTGGGAACTATGATGGCAAGTATGGGTAAAGCAGAAGCAGAATTTGAAGGAGGTTTTGGTTTGTGAAGGATTGTGCTAGCATGAGTTTTGATGGGTGGAAGCAGCTTGTAAGAGGGAATGGGGTTGAGAGCCATTAGAAACCTTTGAATTAAAGACAAGTGAAATTTTTTGATAGTTCCTACTCTTCCTAGCTAGTGATGCAAGGATCTTGTTTTGGAAACAAAGGTGTGATGTATGATATTTAATTTAGAAAGAGCGTGATGAAAGTGAAATGGGCATAAAATTAATTCATTTGGATTAGTTCTAAGTTATGCGAAGAGGCACATGTCATGGTTTGACTAACATAGTGAGGTTTATTTCTCCCCCAATGAAAAGATAGCTTTTGGATTTGTGTGGGATGAATATCTCAGCCAAGATTATTAGGTGATATAAAAATTGTGTTTAATCTTTCATGCTTAATAAATAAATAAGATGTATCAATTTATAATAAACCACGAAGCGTAACACTTCAACGTCACTGACTTATTTTTCATCACCATTAAACTTAGCTGTCAAAATTTAACCTCATGTAAGTAAAATAGATATTATTGGACCGTATGCCCGTATAAGTTGGAGTGGATAGAAAATGGACAGCAATGGTAAATAGTTTGACGCTAAGGTTAGTGTTTTATATTGAGGTTTGTGATAGTAGTGTTGAGAGGACATGGATATTTAAGTACGTCCATTGACTGGAACGTTAGGTCTGAAAATATAAAACCACAAACAAAAGAACATAATCATACATAAATAGTTTATAACTTCATATCTCATCCAACTAAACATAGCAGTTAATGATCCAATTAATCATCATACCATTCAAAAACATAAACAAATTATAATACTAGACTCGTTATTCAGATTTATAGATTGATTCGGACTCTACAATTCGTGTATATATCGTTAATTAAAATTGAATCATTAAAACCGCAAGTGTTACAGCCAATAATAGTACCCAGTTTACCCTCCTTGTGGGAGGTAAATTTTCTAAAGCTTAAAAGAAATAAAGTCATTGACCTCATAATCAACTATATGAATCTTATTCACTCTTCATTACCTAGATCACATCTTCTACATGAGTATGTGAGTGTAGTAGAGTATAAAGATGATTTTACATAAGGTGTCCCTAGTTAATACATAACACTAACTTGCCATATCCTTTCTCCTTAAGAAAGATATGACTATACAAGAAAACATAACATAACTAGACTTACCTACATGCATGAAATACATATAACATAATTCCACATGGAGTTCAATCATGCATAGAAAACAAAAAGAACACTAATTATGAGAGACGTTTCTAAAAAGATAACTAATATTATGGATAATGACTTTCTTAATAGGAAGCCTATATATAATTTAGCCTATTACATCAAAAGGTTTTTTTTTTAAGGATGTCACATTTTTTTAACCTATAACTATTTTTGTTGTATTCAATTGAGAATTGAGCTATTTTAGGTCTCTAAATTAATTTAAGGTGAAAACTAAATATTAATAAACAGGTGAATCAAGATATTAATAAACAATTAAATAATAGATTTTAAATATATATATATATATATATATATATATATATATATATATGTGTGTGTGTGTGTTTTTTTTTTTTTTTGGTAAAAATTAATTCTTAGTGGATGGAGTTGGATCTAATTTTTTTTTTACTTTTTAAACCAATTTTATATATCTAAATTTTAAACTGAGAAGTTAAATCTATAGTCTTTTTTACTTTTACCACTAAACTAATTTGATAGCTCATGTGTGTCTGGATGGGGTAGTTAAGCTAAGTGCTAAACAATAATATACCTCTAAAATAAATTTCTAAATTAAACGTTTCTTTGGGTTCAAATAATAAATAAAGTGTAAAAACTTATTGGATGATGTTTTCAAGTTGTTTACCTCGTATGATGGCACCACCTAATGTCGGATCTTTTTGTTTTCTTTTTCTCTTTTCGATCTAAGTTTTTGTTTCTCTTTCTTGTGATTTCCAGATTTGTTGATTGCCACAACCCTTCTACAATTTATCCGTGTCGAAAAATGCCACCAAAGAGAGCAACTCGTTTCAAACGGTCCAATGTCCGTCCTATTCAACAATCCGATCAGGCTCAGAAACAAGATCTGAAAACTCAAAATCATTTTCATCAACAGCGTTCCTGTGATCAAATCTCATCTCAGTGGTGCACATGAACATTATACTCTTAATCACTCTTAAGAATAATTAACATTTGTTAGAGTTAATGAAACAGCTGCCTGAATTTTTAATAGGATTTTTCAACTTGCCAGATTAGTAATGAGTAGAAGAAGTTGTCTAAATGCGTTCTTTTTAAACTCAGCAGACCAACTTTATGTTACTGAAAATGTTCATTTATGATGGGACAGTTTGGAATACCTATGACATCATCAGTGACAGTAATCTTGTCCCAAAATCCCAGCTGCTTGATATCTGCCAGTGATGCTATGCCGACATAAATCCTTGCTAGTCCAATTGTGGTCTACATCTCTGTTCTCAGATGTTCTGTTGTACTAATTACTAATTAAGAAGTTAACTGCAAGATTAAGATTCTATTACCGTGTAAATTTAATATCAATGAAAGTATAAACAATTTATATGAAAAATGTGATCCTATCTTTAATGTAGAATATCAAGATAAATTTTTGTATATTGTTCATTCTTAATACATATTGGTCTCTTTATCGTTGCTGGTACTTCTGCTGTTTATATACTCCATCTTAGTCAAATAACTTGATTCTTCTCGATTCGTTATATTTTAAAACCAAATCTACTGAATTCATTTGTGTCCCTACTTAATGTAAACAGCCAATCTCGAGAAGGACTGTTTCCATATCAGTGATCAGGGAAGATTCCCCATCCTCTGTTTTAGGTTTGGGTTTTTACTGTCACGTATTTTTGGAAAATCATTAGCAATGGAAAGTTAAACAGCCCTGATCATCAAGTTGCTGAAAACCACATCAAATAATGAAAATCCAGAAGGTCAGTAGGTTGAGTTCCAAAAATTCAACCTAAAACCATGATGTAAGATGATGGCTGTTTGATATTGTAATGAAGTTCAATGTTTCTCTTAAATTACAATACTTTTAACCACGTGATGAAATTAATCCAGTATTTTTACGTCTCAATCCCACCCTTTAAATTAATACAGAGAGAATTTCCACTTTGATGTTGGGACCAAAGGGATCATTAGTTTAGGGAAACAAGTGGACAGGGTAGTGCAAATGGTTATTTTTCTACAAGATTTCTATTATGTATTGCTAATAAAGATTCGATTAGCTTTATCATAAACTCACAATGCACGGTCCTTCTGATCTCACTTTCTGTCGTATTAGAACTAGGAAACCAAAAGGGTGACTTTCTTTATAAATAATCCATACAAAAATTTGCATAGGTTACAGACTTTAGCAGTGACTACAATCACTATGTGATCCACATTCGTTGAACACTAAAACCAATCTCTATCATGGGGTGTCTGTCATAAACTTTGATAATTTTCCATTTTGTTTTCTCATCCATTGAATGCAATCAGTCCAAGGTAAATTTCCAAATAGTGAAGACTACATACAGTGTTTGGTGAATATAAAAAGGCGAAGGGAAGTTAAAGATTGGTGCAGAAGTGTGAGAGAATGGAGGAGTTAAAGGAAAAGGTGAGTGAAAAGGAAACAGAGAAAATAAAGTACAGAGGAGTAAGAAGGAGGCCATGGGGAAAGTTTGCAGCAGAGATTAGAGATTCAGCTAGAAATGGAGCTCGCGTGTGGCTTGGGACCTTTAACACTGCTGAGGAAGCAGCAAGAGCTTATGATCGTGCTGCCTTTGAAATGAGAGGTGCTATGGCCATTCTCAACTTCCCACATGAACACCCTCCTTTCACTTCATCATCTAAAACTGAACATGCTAAACAAGTTGTCGTATTTGAGTGTCTCGATGACAAATTGTTGGAGGAACTCCTTGATTGTGATCACAAAAACATGAATCACAACTTCGCCAACTAGGAACATATGTTCCGACATTTTTAATCCTAGATTGCTGTCTGTGCAGTGCTCTTGTTCAATTAAATCGACCAATCGCGCAAAGTGCTTTTGTGGGGACTATAAAATTTGAGTCATTTCACATCACGTTAATGTGAAGTGGATAAAGTAGAGTTCGGTTAAGTTGGAAGGGAATTTAATCTTTCTTTTTAAGTGACATCGGTTTTCAATTACTTATCAGTTTTATCGATAATTAGTAATAAATGAGAAAAAATATTAAGGGTTTCTGGTGACATTTTTTTCTCTAATTATGTTTTATTGGTTTATTTATTTACCAAAATTAAATTTGAAACTTATTCAAATGTTAGTAACCATATGGAACTTGAGGCACAACGATAAGAGTATATAACAAGATAAGTCTTGTGCGTAAAATGAGAGTTCCATCGTTGTCTTTTTAAACAAGGCACAACAAATAATAAAAAAATGGCGACACCCGTGGCCAACAATAGAGTGTGTCCTGTCTATAAAATGCGCTAGATTCACTTAACTATGACAAGAATTAAAATAAAATAGTTGGTGGGATTACGTTAAAGGCATGCTATAACTACGAACGAATTATGGCTACTGTGTGCGTAAATATTTTATTAAATCTAATTTAATTTATTTTTTCTTAGTGGTGTTGGTATAATCCGCTACATTTTAAATAAAATATATGGATAACTTACAAAAAAAAATTATGGCGGCGACCATCTAGATCCTAGATTCTACTGGTGTGTATATATATCATGGTTACGTATTTTTTATAGTATAGTTGAATAAAATAGGCTTTTCATTTTTTTTTTGCCTTCTTATTTATTTTATACTATTTGTTCATAATGCCTAAAGCGTCAATATAGCGGCTTTACTAAAAAAAAGGAAACTCGTATTTTATTTGATGGCACTTGTTTGCTATTTTTTATGCCCTTAAGATTGTTTTAGGACAAGAGGGAGGAAGTTACTTCATAATAACAGTGCGAGAGGAAGAAAGAAAAATAGGTTTAAGGATGGAATTTTTCAAAGAGAAAATATGAAAAGTTTACACGTTATGTTATTATATATATATATGTAGTAACTACCAAAAATTGTTTAAGAAGAGTAATTGTTTTGTATTTATATAATTAATAACTATAAAATATTTTAAAATTTCATACTCCAATCAATAAGAAAGCAAAACTTAATATCTTCAAAAGTTTCTCTTTCATTGTGTCTTCGCACTTTCTCTTCTCAAGCCTTCATTAGTTGCAGCGACTTGTACGACCACACAAATATATGTTGCTTGGATGTCTTGGAAATGATTTTATTTCATTTTCACATTGTTTTAATAAGGGACTGTGTTTTGAACCAATTTAAGTGGTGGTGTCAATTCTCCTTTCTCCATCACTAGTGACGACTCCTCCATCACCCTCCAACTTGTTCAAGGTTTGTTATGTACACTAAGTATTGAATGAATATTTTATATATGTGTTAACAAGTTTAGATGTAGATTGATTTGCATGTGATTTGGGTTATGTTTTACATGATTTCATTTATCTTAGCCAAATCTTTTAGGAATTTGATGAGAAGCTTTGTTTAAAGAAGTTTTTCTCACTGTTTCTTTTTCTGTTTTGTTGGCATGTTTGTTTCATTTAAATTTGTAGAATATATTTACCATCAAATTTAGTTTTATTTGAGTCTTAAAAAGAGTATTGATGATGTTTGATTAATTATTAGGTGATTGATTAAATTGTGTTTTTAGTTTATATTAGATAGTTGATTAATTTTAGATTCATTAGATGTTGTATGTTTAAATAATTTTAGCTTATTTAGTGATTGGATTCTTACATGATTGACTTTCTTGGATGTTTGTTTTCAACATTGATATCAATTTGACATCTTCAACTAAGATGTTAAAGTTTCTTCTGATATTAAAAGTAAAAAATAACAAAGATCAAAAATCGTTTTTTAGTACTTACCACATTTAATCATCATAAACCTCCTATAACCAGTCCTCTCAGTTCACCCTAAAAAAACCACCTTTACATCTTTTTCTTAACAGCCAATTGTAACAACTCCATTTAGCATATTTGAACAAAACTAACCGCTTTGTTTATCTATTCTCCCAATTCATTATTATTTCTTTCCAGTTTTAATACATATTTTTGGATAAAAGCACTAGTCAAAAAATTAACATTTAGAATGTTACTTATTTTTATCTTATACTTTCACTTATGTCAAATTAAATATATTTTTTTCATAACCTTTTCATTCCTAAATATAAATTTATGTTTTTATCGTATACACACAAGTATTGCCCACGTACTCTTTAAAGTTGGAATTAGGCATTGATAAGGAAAAAAATATGTGGAAAATATATGGGTCTTTTCAAGAGAGAATAACCAAAAATATAACATTAACCTACATATAAGAGATCAATACCATCTCCAACCAAAAAACTCTAAAACAATAAGTTTATTGATTTTATTTCTTATATGGTGTTCAATTTTTTCATTTTTACTGACTTAAACTCATATTTGGATTTTTCAATAATCTTTCAAGTGAGTCTCTTCACAATTGACACCTTTTCTTTGAGTTAACCACAAATACTTCTTATTTGTATAGCCAATCATTACAATGAGACACACTTGACCCTCCCTCAAGAAGACTATGGATACAAAAATATGTTTGAACCTATCACCAAAACTAATTATCCATCTCTGATATCACTGATGAGTCTTTCCAAAAAAGATTAATATAAAAATACAATACAAATAAGACATGTTCAATCCACATATAAGAAATTGACACTACTTCCATCCTAAAATCTCTAGATAATTTATAGATTTTTTTTCTTATATTGTGTTTAACTTTTTTTCCTTTAATTATTTAACGTGCTATTTAAATTCACACTTAAATTTTTTTAAACTATTATATTCTTATTATTGTAATGCACTATGCTATATAGATCCTCTTATAAGAGATATAAGATGTATATTTGCTACATGGTTAACCGCTAAAGCTCTGACTTCTGCTAGGTTCTATACTATAATTCAATGGAGTAACATTTAGTGCTGCAATTGAGGAATAAGACATGATTGTCCAAAGAAAACTGAACATGTATATAAAGTATTCTGAAATGACAATGTTGTCTCTTCTGATTTTATGAATTATAGTACGTTATGGTTTTCCTATGAGTAATGACATTTATATATA